CGAATTCCCGATACATAGTTCGTCTCCCTAGGCTTCGAAATCCTTGGCGTCCGCGAGCCCATGAGAAACCAGTACAATTTTCACATGCTCTATCTTCTGATGAATTGCCCGATCAATGTAGGGATCTAGCAGTGGAATCAGCCACTTTCCATAGTAGTCATCTATAGATGTTGTGTTTTCGACCGGTCTGTGTATATCCATATAAGCTCCATGCGGTTCAAAATTGTCCAAGCTTGTTCTGCCGGCATTAAGATGGATATGGTCGGCCAATTCAAGAAGAAAACCAATGTCTTCCACTGGAGCGTAGAGCTCACGCAGATGACTGGTATCATATATTGAAGCGTCGTACCGCTCATCGGTCTGACTCTGTCGTTTTTCTCCCATGGTGCATTGTCGCTCATTGATCGAAGCTAGGATTGTGCTCTTGAAGCGAGTAAGAGTGCTGAGATGGGCGGCAGCGATGTGAATCTTCAACTTACACACTGTTTCTTTTCACTCACAAAAGAGAATGATCTAGACTTTCCCCGGGATAGGCGCCGGAGGAGAACCTTCAATTGCCAAAGCAATACGTCGGGGCTCATTTTCCTTCATAGGATGTACCACGAGTACAGAGATCTCATACCGAGCGAGAGAACTTCATATATAGAATGGTCCCTCTTTTAATGCGGTGAAGCCGGAGAGCTAATCTGAGGAGACAATGCATCCTATAATTAGATTCTTATGAAATCTTGCCACACTTCTGATTATTCGTGAATTACCATGGACCCTTGCTCTTGCGGAATTTTTCACAAATCGCGTGTGGAAGAGCCATGCGGTCGTACAAAGTCGCCCATGTGTGTTGTACTCGCGGGTGTAGCGCAGGTGTCATTTTTTAACCAAGTCCCTGCCCACAACAAATTCTCATTGCGAGATACCGTGTCTATGAAACCCACTCTTGACATCACTACACTGTTTCATAGGGAATTGGCAAGTTGGATGCTAACCCCTTGTTGGCTATCGGAGAAACTGTGGACTGGGACAAATTTGATTTTCTTCTTGGTTCAGAGACAGAACGGGAAAACCGACGTCGCCTCATTCTGTGAAATCTAATTTCATGCAGATATATTATGTAAGGACCAACGCGCCCAGGCACGCGAGGTCGTACGTGTCGGCCAAAAGACCTAATATGACAAGACTAGCGTCTTGTCATGCCTGGGATCGGTATATATAGTAGCGCCACAGTTAGGGCCGCCCGTAGGCGCGCGCCCTAACACATTAGGTACATATTTGCAAGCCCTCCATCTTCAGTAGACAAGAACAAGCGAAAGGTTGAAAATGCCTAACCAGTCTCTATCTTTACTGACTAACTGGCTGTAGATCCTTTGCAATACTCACCCCCATCCCGGTGCACTCCCAATCTACATATTGAATATCGCCTGAGAGCAACAGGAATAATAAGTATTCGATGTCTTATTCGATAGCCCTTTTCAAACGGAGATAGCCCCACGCCAATATTCCTGACACTGGCGAGCGTGTAAGGATGCTCGCGTCCAAGCACCGTCTCTCGTGCTTCCAACGCCCGTCGATGCATCGCTTCCGCCTCTTCATAAGCTCCCTGAAGACAGCATATCATACATAAAACTTCGAAACTCAATAGTCATCCTACATGAGCCATGATAATGCCTCCGAAGCTATGTGCGATGAATATCAAAGGTCTCCGCTGGAGCTATTGGAACAATCAGCCAAACTTGCTACCAGTAGACAGTGGCAATGATACTATGCGGCATGATCAGTTGGTGTTAATCTTCCAGGTGTAGAAAACGGCGCAGGTCCTTACTCGGCAACTACTGGCTCCTTATCGACCGACGCGTAGAGCTGTGTGAATCTAAAGAAGTGACAGTCAAAGTTGATATCACCCTCACCCATCTCAACCTGCCAGTCTCCAAGCGGGTCAACTTTCAGCTCACGGAGGAACTGAGGCACCCCACCGCGGAACTGCACCAGCGCCGCCCTCTCTGTGCCACTTTCATAGCATGAAGGCACAATCGTGATCGCAGCTTTGACATGCGATCTCTCGTCGTCTGCGAAGTTGTCGTTGAGCGCCTCGTGTAGTGCGGTCTTGAGATGCTCATCGGTCTTGAGGTTGCCATCGGGCAGTTTTCTCGACAGGTCAGTCACCCGGAAGACGTGCGACTTCTACTAGCCATTGGGATTTACCTTTGTCAGTGGTACATCAGACGAGAGTGGACTTTGCGTCGCCTGTTGATGGATGATCACCTTCACCGCTGAGGCTGATAATCCCAACCTGTACTTGAGTATCCATAGCATATAGTGCAAAGACAGCATACATTAAGATATAATATATCTATAGCTGACGGGTTTCCTGTTGCACTGAGTACCCTCATATTTTGATGTGGTCCCAGGTTATCTCTGCGGACATAGTTGTGGGGCGGCTGTTCCTTCCGTTAAGTGGCGCTGGTATTTTCCATACATAGACATAGAGTTACGCGATTGTTTCCTGTCCCGTGTGATCGCCTTATCGGTATTTTTGTTTATGTACCTTTCGGCTGCCAAGAATTCCACCAAAATTGGTATATTACCAATCAAGATGATTATAATGATATGAAAAAAAAAAAAAAAAAAAAAAAAAAATTCAATAGGTGTCTGAGTACACGAAATATTGCAACAGTGTCTTTCCCATCCATCTCAGACGTTTTTGTGGAATTCGAAATCAGTTTCAACTCCACACTCTTTGCGATTTAATTCCCGGGCCCCAAGTGGAGATACGCTGCTCTAATTTTAGCTCTTCGCCTGGTAGGGCTGTATTGTATTCACAGGTAAACACAATGAGTCATTGTTATAGTACCGAAATTTCTTGTAGAAACCGATGGAATAAACACATTAGTCCTGATTTGGCTAGACACTTGTCTCTCCGCTTTTCAGACCGCTTGCTAGAATAGTATTCATATTTCCCAAATTGGAACACTACACCACTTCACCCCTTAGCAGTAACAGGCTTCGTTCGCGGTCCGACTCAACACCCCTCCTCGCTCTCGGGAACTTATCTGCCCCTCGAAATTCAAATCTCGAAGATTCGACGATTCATCGCAAATCAGTGTCTATCATCTTTTCCTCAATACCACGTGGGACTTTCAAAGATATTCATTCAATTATTCTTTATCCGCTCTCATTTGCTCTCATTCCAACATTCTCGGTTTAAAAATATTTAGTGAAAGAGCCAGGAGCACGCACTCGCACTTTCCCGTGAAATCACTGCTATTTAAATCTACAATTCTCTCGCCAATACTCAACCTCGTTGTTGACCCAATGATGCCTAACCGCCACGGTACGATGTGCGCCTCTCCGCATCAAAAGGAGTTGTTCGTGGACCTTCTCTTGTTAGTACAGTAGGAGTCGAAAACAGTTTCCCCCTCTAGACACATACGCTTAGTTTCTCGGCTCGTACCCGAAACTAGGCTAATCCGTAATTAGACGAACTTGTAACTAATCATTTTCTAATAATAGATGCTTTCAATACAAGGACGAATGCATTGTGTATGAAATTGTATATTACACGGATACCTGATGCTCTCTCCCGCTCTTATTCTGACACTTGTCCTCCTAACGCCTCATTCCCAAGAATTACGAGAATCTCAACAATACGGCACCGAGACTGCCCCCATCAAAGCTACAGTTCATTCATGATATGATCCACAGCCAATCGCTAACCACGCCTCAAATGGCTGATGCAGCTGAGTGCAGTGAACGAACGATCAAGAATATCCGCAGGAACTTGCGCCTATTTGGAAGTGTCCATGCACCTCCCACTCGTATCGGTCGAAGACGAACCATAACACCACCAATGCTGGAAGCTCTTTGTGGTCATCTACTAGAAAAGCCTGGTCTCTTTCTGGATGAAATGATATTATTTATATGGGATGAATTCCAGATGATCGTGACGACCTCAAGTATCAGGAGGGCGTTGGAATTTAAAGGTTGGTCTAAAAAGACCACTCGACAGAGGGCCAAGGAGCAAAATGCAGAATTACGAGAGTTGGATCTTCATAATCTATCAGAATATGAGTCATACCATCTGGTCTACGTTGATGAGTCTGGTTGTGATAAGCGGATCGGGTTCAGAAGGACAGGTTGGTCACCACTCGGTGTTGCCCCCGTGCAAGTGTCTCAGTTTCACCGCGATGACCGATATCAAATACTGCCCGCGTATGCCCAGGATGGTATCGTGCTTTCTCGCGTCTTTCGCGGTTCAACAGATGCCACTGTGTTCGAGGACTTTATCGACCAGCTCCTTCGACACTGTGGTAGGTGGCCAGAGCCGAAATCTGTTTTGGTAATGGACAACGCGTCATTTCACCACTCTGAGCGTATTGCGCAAATGTGTGCCGATGCTGAAGTGAAGTTGGTTTACCTGCCTCCCTATTCGCCTGACCTCAATCCAATTGAGGAGTTTTTTGCCGAACTTAAGGCCTTCATCAGGCGTAACTGGTGCTACTTTGAAGATGACCGAGAACAAGGATTTGATTGCTTTCTCAACTGGTGTATTGATACCGTTGGAGCAAGAGAAAAGAGTGCAAGAGGCCATTTTCGGCACGCAGGCCTGACGATTGAAGATTTGGAAGAATAATCTCATCCACTTTGTTTCTTAATAAACACGTGTGCAGCTCAATATAGAAGTGCAAAAGCGACTTCACCAATGCGAACTCTTTCCTTCTTAGGCCCACTTCCAAGAACTTGGCCGAAAAATTACTTCAGTTTGGTAATACATAGTATATTAATTTTTTGTCTAGTTGGAAGTTTCCGGGTTTATCGCTTCAACTCATGGACCCAGGAACAATAATGTGAATTAAGCTGTCCAATCTAAGCTGTCCAATCTAAGCTGTCCAATCTAAGCTGTCCAATCTAAGCTGTCCAATCTAAGCTGTCCCATCTAAGGCATCAAACACATGCAACTTCAAACCGAAAAAACAACATATTTATTCCAAACGCCGGCGCAATTGAATCTATATCACTTCAAGGACGGGCATCGCCTTCTTCACGCTTTCAGCCCAGTCACGAATATTCTCTACGAAGATTCGAGCTGTTCCCGGCTTGACGCCCTTATCGACGAAAAATCCTGGGTTTTGATCCTTGTATATGTGCTCAAGGTCGAAGCCATCTGACAGGGTTACATCACACGCTTGCCGGAATGCTGCTTTGAGAGTGACATCCGACACAGTTGATGCGAGCCACTCACCATATTCTTTGACAGCTTCATCTCTGAATCCGGGAATCTTCAGTGGACGTTTGCCAGTTGAGCCAATCATATTATCGTCTGCATTAGATGCTGTCACCTCCAATCCGGAAGGGTGGAACGAGTGAACATTGATGTTGATAGGTGGGTATGGCGTGCCGCCGCCGGAATGGTTACCGGTTTTACGCTTGTCTTTCTCCAGCCGCTGTTGCTCCTCCATATAGAGTTCATCTCGGATTTCATCAGGAACATCTTTATGCGTATTCAGTACACCGCCTTTCTCGGCGTAGGTGACCAATCGCTTAAGAGTTTGTGTGCGGAGTCGATAATGCTTTTTCCCCACCGGATCCAGCCAGCAATACGGGCCTAGGTGGCACGCAGCCGAATCGCATTTCATCAAATCATAGACGTGGCGCCAAATTGCTTGCTGTCCACATGCATGTTCTTCGGCATCCAGCTGTGCGTCTCGATCGTTGAGCATTCTTTTTGTGACGGATGATTTGCCTCTCTTTTCCCCTTTCCGACCGGTGGGTGAAAATGTACAATCGTCTATATAGTTAAAAGACACCCTCAACGTCAGTCTTCGACCACGAGAGAAGTGATTGGACCACATCCGGAGTTGGTTCTCAATCGGCGTCCAGACAATGTCGGTCTTATTGAACCGCTTGGTGAGATCACGCTGGGACCGATGATCAACAGATACCACGATCGCAGTGTCATCGACCCTGACTCTTCTTTTACGCGAGACTTTCTCTTGAAGGACAGCCTGTAGCTTCTGCTCTAGGAACAACCGCCAGTAGGCGCTTGGGGCCAGTACCAGGTCTTCTTCAGTGTCCTTCACCACGGCCTTATTGTTGAGAGTGACCCGCCATTCTATAAAGTAGTGGATACAGGTTGGGGAATCCTCGTTATAGATTTTGTTTTGCTCCCATTCAGATTCCTGGAGCAGTGGTAAAGTGCTTTGTTGAGATCGGCTTGCTGAATTAGGTTCATCGTCGAGCAGGATAGATGGGGAGGGACTACAGGCAGATGGCGTTGCAAGAGGGCTTCGAAAATATCCCGGGGTAGGTGCGTATTGGGAATCCTCCTCCCATGATTGAAGATGCCGAGGCTGAGAGACGTAGTCAATGTGACATGGGTTGTCGCTCATATCTACAGATGATCAAAGTTCTGGAGATCTGCGTCAGCTGACATGGGCGTGGACTGGTGGCAAGTACATATGCACGTGGAAACGACAGTACAAGCAGAATGCATGGGATAACACAAACAGACATAATTAACCTACCAGGTTAGTTCGATACAGTAGCAGCACAGCTGTCGCATGGGCGTGGGTAGATTGAGACAAACTCGAGAGGGACCGGGAAGGGAGGGCGGTGGATCAAGCTATTTCGACGGATCTCTCCCCGCCCTTTCAGGAACATTCTGTGGGGCTGTAAAGCATTTTACAATGACTGATCAATGAAGTCTCGTGTCCATGTTAAAAGACACAGGAACAGGTAATAGTATTTATTACACGAAACAGCTTACAGTACAACTGCGACCTCTAGTCCCACGTCGCGGTCAAAATCTTTGGTAGTAACATCTATCCCCTGACAAAGTTTTGATATTGTAATGTCGCATCTAGCTCCTAAGTTCCAAAAGGCTCTCCAAAAAGAACGGCATCAACACTACCGATATTGAAGCTATTTTTTCCATATAATTTACTATAGAGCCTGTCACTGACCACGTCTGAAATGGCTGACGCAGCTGAACGCAGCAACCAGGCGCCAATAGAAACACTTGCTCACACTGCCTCATTCTTTAGCGCCTCCCCCTCTTCTTCCCCCAAGCTGAAACGCATTCGCTCCATCTTGCACAACCTCTACCACTCCATCTTTACCTAGCCTGAAAACCACCACAAAAGGTTAAACAATAGCCAAGAACCTAACCTGGTTTGAGCTCGCTGATCACAATGAATCAACATGAGCCTCCGAATCCGGACTCAATAGAATCCTACACGATAGCATGGATTTGTGCCTTGGAAGAAGAGTACTTTTGTGCAGGCCGAATGCTCGATGAAGAATTCACCGGACCAGAGACATCGGAAGACAAAGATGACAACACTTACATCTACGGTCGCATCGCGAAACACTACGTGGTCATTGGCTGCCTTCCAGCTGGTCGGTATGGTACCAATTCAGCCGCCCGTGTTGCCCGAGATATGGTTCGAACCTTTCCACATCTTCGGTTCGCGCTGATGGTAGGCATCGGAGGCGGTGCTCCTACTGCCCAGAGCGATATTCGGCTGGGCGATGTTGTTGTGAGTCAGCCAGAAGATGGATTTGGCGGAGTGATACAGTATGATCTAGGCAAGATATTGCCGAGCGGTCGGTTTCAAAGGAATGGCCAGCTGAATGCTCCACCTGGGAAGCTACTGGGAGTCATATAAGAGATGCGCAGGCTATATATGGATAAAAAAAGGCCAGACCGACTCGCGGAGCATCTTCAGCTCCTTGATGATATGGAAACATTTCAGAAGCCAGCGCTCGATCATCTCTATGCAACAGGTTACCTGCATGCGAGCGGAAACAATTGTGACAAATGCCATCCTCAATCAGTGGTGGTCCGCCCAGTGCGCTCCAACCACCGCGCTATCTCTGTCCACTATGGGACTATTGCTTCTGGGAACTCTGTTGTCAAGGATGCCAAAATGCGAGACTTGTACGCAAATGACCCAGAGTTGAACGTTTTGTGCTTTGAGATGGAAGCCGCAGGCCTCATGAACAATATCCCTTGTCTCCTCATCAGGGGAATCTGCGACTATTGTGACTCTCATAAAAACGATGCATGGCATAACTACGCTGCACTTACTGCTGCAGCATATGCACGAGAGCTACTCCTCGTCTTGCGATCGCAACGAGTGGATTCCATGCCGCCCTGGGCTGATCGAGTGAAACAGGAACTTCAACAAGGTTAGACCCCGGACTTAAACTTCCAGGCTCATTATTTTATTATATAAGACATTGGTTCATTTTCTTTGCTCTTCTGAATATACAATAACATGTTACAGTCAATCACAGTTTGGCCAATCTTAAGAATGATCAAAGGTAGGAAAGATACCCACTTATAATGTTCATGTTCTATATCAATAACTGTCAAAAGGGCTTTTCAAATAACGGTTGATTCAATTGATCAGAAGATTGATTGGGGCAAGCTATCAATAGCTCAAGATGCGGCATTTGATTCGTATGTGGATCAAGGTGAAGATGAATGCTTCCCAGGAACCCGGACTGAACTTCTTTTCCAAATCAAGGAATGGGCCTCCTCTGCACAGGATAAACCTATCTTCTGGCTAAGTGGCAAGGCTGGAACGGGAAAGTCAACAATCTCTCGAACGATAGCAAAAGATTTCCAAAACAAGAAGCTCCTTGGAGCGAGTTTCTTTTTCAAGAGGGGAGAAGGAGACCGAGGAACCGCCAGGAGATTCTTTCCAACAATCATTAAGCAGCTTGTGATTCTGATTCCTCGGCTAAAGCCAGCGATCCAAAAGGCACTCGGTGACGAGCCTGAAATTGCGGGAAAGTCTCTCCAAGAACAGTTCGACAAACTACTCCTTCAGCCATTGCAAAATTTACAGAGAGCAGACACCCTACCTCCAATCATTGTGATAATGCTTGACGCATTGGACGAGGGCGAGCCGGATGGAGAGATGTGTCGTCTTCTTCAATTATTACGACGGCTGCGAGATATACAATCCGTCTCTTTACGAATTTTTTTGACGAGTAGGCCCGAGTGGCCAATTCTTCAAGAGTTTTCCAAGATCACAAGCCATGATTACAAAGACCTGATTCTTCATGAAGTACCAGCGCCAGTTATACATCATGATGTATCTTTATTCTTGAAGCAACGACTCTCAGTAATTCAAATCGACCGCTCTCTACCTAATGATTGGCCCGGGGACGTGAATTTTGATATCCTTGTGGAATTATCTGTTCCCCTCTTCATCTTTGCCGCCACTGCCTGCCGTGTATTTCAAGACTACCGTTTGGACCCGGAGGCTAGCCTAGCTGAGATCCTAGCACATAAGAATGATGGGTCTGGATTTGATGCAACATATCGTCCTGTATTGGACCGACTTCTTCGAGGACAAGATGGGGGTAAGCAAAGGCGGCTTGTTCAGGAATTTCACGAAACAGTTGGTGCGATTGTCATGCTTGAGAGTCCTCTCTCAGTCGTCTCTCTTTCGAGGCTTCTCGATTTGTCTGAGAAGCAAATTTACACTACTCTCAACTCATTCCATTCAGTACTAAATGTACCGAATGAATTGACCCAGCCGGTGCGAATGTTTCATCTATCTTTTCGCGACTTTCTTCTCGATCCTGAAACGCGCAAGAAAACTCCCTTGGGGCTGGATGAGAAAGAAATCCACTACCATTTGGCCATTAAATGTCTTACTACGTGTGGGACATTGCGGAAGAATATATGCGAACTCCAGAGCGATGGAACCTTACGTGCGGATATTGATGACCAGGCCATTGATGAGTGTTTTCCCGCCGAATTACGATACTCCTGTCGATACTGGGTACATCATACGGCTCAGTGTGTAGATAGTAGTGACGTCAAACCTCGCGCACTCTCATTCCTCAAGACGCATTTTCTATACTGGGCGGAAGCAATGAGCCTGTTAAGTCTTATATCAGAGGTGGTAGGGGCCATAAATCTCCTCCAGTCCGCTATACAGGTAATCTCTTCTAACAATCATATATGAATCATACTAATAGATATAGCATGATCACAACTCCACATTATCCGAGTTCCTTCATGATGCAAAGCGCTTTATTCTTAAAAATCATCAGATAGCTGATAAGGCGCCCCTTCAGCTTTATTGCGCAGGATTGATTTTTGCACCTGAAGCAGCAATAATTCGTCGAGAGTTCGAAAAAGAGCTTCCGACTTGGATAAACCAGTTACCACAGGTCAACAAAGGATGGAGTGCGGAGATACAGACGCTCGAGGGCCATACGAATTCAGTTTGGGCAGTGGCTTTCTCACCTGACGGCCGGCTACTAGCGTCCGGCTCTAGCGATAAGACTATACGGCTCTGGGACCCGGCCTCGGGTGCACTACAGCAGGCGCTCAAGGGCCATAGGTCTTCAGTTCTGGCAGTGGCCTTCTCACCTAACGGCCGGCTACTGGCGTCCGGCTTTGACGATAGGACCGTACGGCTCTGGGACCCGGCCTCGGGTGCACTACATCAGACACTCAAGGGCCATACGAATTGGGTTCGGGCAGTGGCCTTCTCACCTGACGGCCGGCTACTGGCGACCGGCTCTCGCGATGAGACCATGCGGCTCTGGGACCCGGCCTCGGGTGCACTACAGCAGACGCTCGAGGGCTATAGGTCTCCAGTTCTGGCAGTGGCCTTCTCACCTAACGGCCGGCTATTAGCATCTGGCTCTGACGATTGCTTTGTGCGGCTCTGGGACCCGGCCTCGCGTGCACTACAGCAGGCGCTCAAGGGCCATAGGTCTTCAGTTCTGGCAGTGGCCTTCTCACCTAACGGCCGGCTACTG